CATCTCACACGCTTCGTGGCCCCATGCGGAACTCCACCCAAGGTCCCAGTGGCGCAGCCCGCATGCGGTACGCGCCCAATTTTGGCACACCCCTCACACGCTTCGTGGCCCCATAGGGAGCTCCACCTATGGTCCCAGTGGCGCAGCCCGCATGCGGTGCGCGCCCAAGTTTGGCACACCCCTCACACGTTTCGTGGCCCCATAAGGAGCTCCGCCTATGGCCCCAGTGGCGCCGCCCACATGCGGTACGCGCCCGATTTTGGCACACCCCTCACACGTTTTGTGGCCCCATACGGAGCTCCAACGTAGGCTCCAGTGGCGCAGCCCGCATGCGGTACGCGCCCAATTTTGGCACACCCCCCACGCGCTTCGTGGCCCCATAGGAGGCTCCACTTTAGGCCCCAGTGGCGCAGCCCGCATGCGGTACGCGCCCAATTTTGGCACACCCCTCACACGTTCCGTGGCCCCATAGGGAGCTCCGCCCAAGATCCCAGTGGCGCAGCCCGCATGCGGTACGCGCCCAAGTTTGGCACACCCCTCACACGTTTCGTGGCCCCATAGGGAGCACGGGCGAAGATGACATCACAATTGCGGCATTCACAACTGCATATGGTCGGGTCATTCGTCAGGCTATTTTTTGTATTTGACGCAGCCAGTGCTGAAGCAGCACCGAAGTCTAATTGAAGTAAAAGTAACGCCTACTTCTGAGCCGCACTGGGCGGCTTCTTGTAAAGCCTCCTGTACTCGGCTTCCCAGCCCTCTCGCCGAGCCTTGTGCAGACCCGAATGCCACTGCGCGTTGGCAGACGTCGTCCCGCCCCTACCGCCCCAGCGAGGCCCCTTTGGGTTGCCCGCCCTCTCGCGAAACCAGCCGCTGCCCTGTCGGCACTGCCCTGTGTGCGATGCGGAGGACGAGGGCGCGGCCGAAGGTCTTGCTGGTACGCTGAACAACCGTGCTGAGGACGAGGGCGCGGCCGAAGGTCCTGCTGGTGCGCGGGGCTGGCCGTCGGAGATGCCGTCGGGCTTGCTGTCGGAGTTGCCGTCGAGGATGCCGTCGTACTTGTTGTAGTCGGGCTTGTCGTCGGAGACGCCGTCGGGCTTGTTGGCGGCCGCTGGCAGCTGCTTCATGCTCGCATCGATGTCGGCGAAGATCCAGCAGTAGTGGGCGCGGGCCTGCTCGGACGGCTCGAACCCGCACTCTGACGCCATGACAGCGAAGTGGCCGAAGTCGCCCCAGACGGTGCGCGGGTCGAGACGCAGCCTCATGCATGCATCGAGGGCGGCTGGGTAGCACTCAGCTTCGAACAGGAAGGTCGCCAACGTTGCATCGGCCCACGTGCCGTTGTAGTTGTATGTGTCGGCAGCGTACGTGGCGTCCATCATCGCGCGGATCGCGCGTCGCAGGATGCCGCTCGCGCCCTCGCGCAGTAAAGGGCGCCGTTCGATCCAGTGCCAAAGCGGCATCGGGGGGGGGGGGCGCGGAGAAGGCTCGGGCTCCGAGCAGGCCCCCCCCTAGGGCCTCGGCGTCACTCCCCCCAATGGGCGCTCGACGGGGCCGCGCCCGACGCCAAACACTCTGGGGCGTCACGGGCGACAGGCCCCGATTGGGGCCCATGGGGGAGCGACGGGGGGAGGGCCACGAAACCAGCAGGATTGGCCCCGAGCGGTTCCCAAGATGGCCCCTGATGATTCAAGACGGCCCTCAAGGTGGCCTGGTGCATCGCGAGAAAGGCATCCTTCAACCACGCGTGGTTGAAGGATGCCCTTCTCACGATGTACGCGCTGGCATTTCCACTCGTGACACCGAGGGCAGGATCTGGAAGAAGGTCACTTTCACCGTGACCCTTCATATTGTTGAGGATTGGGTTCGGCCCTCGCCGTCGTCCATGGGCGAAGGGCCGCGTGGTGGGCACCGCGTGGTGGGTACCGCTTTCGGTGGAGCTCCCTATGATGCTATGAACCGTGTGAGGGGTGTGCCGAAATGGCCCGAGGCCGCCATGCTAACCCTGCCACTGGGGCCTTCGGTGGAGCTACCTATGTGACGACGCCAAAAAGGCGGATGTCTGTGATTGTGATGATGTCGATGCGGGTGTAGGAAGGAGGAATGCCATTTTCTGCCCAACCATCCTGTGGTGTTGGGCCCTCGTCGTCGTCGTCTTCCTCGGCCCCTCAGGCTCGTCCTTGAATGGGTTCTGCAATGGAGGAGGGAGGAGGAATAGGAGGCGGAGTGGGAGGATCAAGAGAGTGAGAGTGATGATGATGCTGGTGGTGATGATGTTGATGATGGTGAGACGGATGAGGATGATCATGCTGATGATGATGATGATGATGATGATCAGGATGATGATGATGATGATGATGACGGTGATGGTGATGGTGATGGTTATGTTGATGATTGACGATGCTTTTTCCCGCCCGCAATTAGACTCCGAGCGTGGGTCGACCCACTCAGTCTCTACTTCGAGGGTCACCTTGAACGTGGCCCTCAGATGGGGGCCCTCCTGAACCATACATGTTCAGGAAGGCGGCCTTCAACCGTGGGTTTCCTCGATGCACTTCCACGCCTGCTCGGCCTTCTTGACCCGCTGGAAGATCTCGATCAGGTAGTCGCCGCCGCGCTCGGGCTTCGTCTCGGGTTCGGCGCGCGCGGCCTCTGCCATGGCTCTCGGCGGGCTCGGAGGCGGCGGGCTCGGGGGAGTCCACGGGGCGCGACTCGTCTCGGTCTCGGCGCGCACGGCCTCGGCCTCTGCCATGGCCCTCGTCGGCAGGAGCGGGGGGGGGGGGGGTGCGCGGGGCGCGACTCGTCTCGGCTGCGGCGCGCGCGGCCTCGGCCTCTGTCATGGCTCTCGAGAGCGGGGGAGTGCGCGGGGCGCGGGAACGCGGGCTTGACATCAGACCGCAGCTTTGGGCCACTGGCAAAGGTATGCACACATATCACTTATGCGGGGCCAGAGCGGATACGCGCACCGCTTCAGCGGGTGAGCCGCTGTGGCGAAACCAAAATGACGATGCCAAAAAGGCGGATGTCTGTGACTGTGATGATGTCGATGCGGATGTAGGAAGGAGGAATGACATGTTTTGCCCAACCATCCTGATGTGTTGGGCCCTCGTCGTCGTCGTCGTCGTCCTCCTCTTCCTTCTCCTCCTCCTCCTTCTCCTCCTCCCCACCTTCTAGTTTTAAGTCAGATGTCACTGGGCCCCCCTCGAGGCCCCTGGTCCCCGACCGCGCCCCAGGGAGCAAGGCCGCCCCGCGAGGGCGGGGGGGGGGGCGCGCCCTATTCATGTTTCACCGTGGTCGGAGACAGGGCCCCAGCCCCATGTTTCACTTATTCATGTTTCCCATGTTTCACCCCCACCCCTGTGCCCCCGCCTTTCAAGGGGGGAGCCTTCGTCCTCGAGGTCGAGGACATGGCAACGGTGCGTAAGAGAGTGCGGCCGTTTCGGATATGTTTCCTTACTTATGTGCGCTGAAAAAGGAGGGGGGTGGGGGGCCGATGGGACGACGACGGCGACGACGACGACGATGGCGACGACGATGACGACGACGACGACGACGACGACGGCGAAAAGGCCCAAGTGGCAGGGCTCGCTCGGGCCATTTCGGCACCCCTCGCACGAGGATCGTGGCCCCATAGGGAGCTCCACCAGAGGCCTCAGTGGCAAGGTTCGCACGGCGGCCTCGGGCCATTTCGGCACACCCCCCTCACGAGGGCCGTGGCCACATAGGGAGCTCCACCGAAGGCCCCAGTGTTCGGCGCACCCCTCACGAGGACCATGGCCCCATAGGGAGCTCCACCGAAGGCCCCAGTGGCAGGGTTCGCATGGCGGCCTCGGGCCATTTCGGCACACCACTCATTAGGATCGCGGCCCTGTGGGGAGCTCCACCGAAGGCCCCAGTGGCAGGGTTCGCATGGCGGCCTCGGGCCATTTCGGAGCACCCCTCACGAGGACCGTGGCCCCATAGGGGGCTCCACCGAAGGCCCCAGCGGCAGGGTTCGCATGGCGGCATCGGGCCATTTCGGCACACCCCTCACGAGGATCGTGGCCCTGTGGTGAGCCCCACCGAAGGCCCCAGTGGCAGGGTTCGCATGGCGGCCTCGGGCCATTTCGGCACACCCTTCACGAGGGTCGTGGCCCTGCGGGGTGCTCCACCGAAGGCACCAGTGGCAGGGTTCGCATGGCGGCCTCGGGCCATTTCGGCACACCCGCCACGAGGATCGTGGCCCTGTGGGGAGCCCCATTGAAGGCCTCATTGGCAGGGTTCGCATGGCGGCCTCGGGCCATTTCGGCACACCCCTCACGAGGACCATGGCCCCATAGGGAGCTCCACCGAAGGCCCCAGTGGCAGGGTTCGCATGGCGGCCTCGGGCCATTTCGGCACACCACTCATTAGGATCGCGGCCCCATAGAGGGCCCCACCGAATGCCCCAGCGGCAGGGTTAGCATGGCGGCCTCGGGCCATGTCGGCACACCCCTTACGCGGATCGTGGCCCTGCGGGGTGCTCCACCGAAGGCCCCAGTGGCAGGGTTCGCATGGCGGCATCGGGCCATTTCGGCACACCACTCACGAGGATCGTGGCCCTGTGGGGAGCTCCACCGAAGGCCCCAGTGGCAGGGTTAGCATGGCGGCCTCGGGCCATTTCGGAGCACCCCTCACGAGGACCGTGGCCCCATAGGGAGCTCCACCGAAGGCCCCAGTGGCAGGGTTGGCATGGCGGCCTCGGGCCATTTCGGCACACCCCTCGCGAGGATCGTGGCCCCTTTTGGTTTCGCCACAGCGGCTCACCCGCTGAAACGGTGCTGACCCCATATTTGTGTGCATACATTTGCCAGTGGCCCAAAGCTGCGGTCTAATATCGTCCCAGGCCCCGCGCACCCCCCCGCTCGCCATGTCATCCAGCGCCCCGCGCACTCCCCCGCCGACGAGAGCCATGGCAGAGGCCGAGGCCCTTCGCGCCATGGCAGAGGCCGAGGCCGAGACGCCCGCCCCGTGGACTCCCGATGGGGCCGCCTCCGAGCCCGCCGAGAGAGGCCGCGCGCGCCGAACCCGACAAGAAGCCCGAGCGCGGCGGCGACTACCTGATCCAGATTTTCCAGCCGCCCGAGAAGCGGGTCAAGAAGGTCGAGCAGGAGTGGAAGTGCATCGAGGACGTGACCAACCCACGGTTGAAGGCCGCCTTCCTGCAGATGTACGGTTCAGGAGGGCCCCCATCTCCTGACGTGGACCAGTGCGACTACAGGCACCCGAAGAGGGCCACGTTCAAGGTCACCCTCGAGGTGGAGACCGAGTGGGTCGACCCACGCTCGGAGTCTCATTGAGGGCGGGAAAAAGCATCGTCAATCATCAACATCACCATCACCATCACCATCACCGTCATCATCACCGTCATCATCATCATCATCATCATCATCATCATGATCATCATCATCATCATCAGCGTGATCATCCTCATCCGTCTCATCATCATCAACATCATCATCATCAGCTTCTTCATCACTCTCACTCTCTTGATCCTCCCACTCCGCCTCCTATTCCTCCTCCCTCCTCCATTGCACAACCCATTCAAGGACGAGCCCGAGGGGCCGCGGCGGGTAGGGGCTTCAGGGGGGCTCGGGAACTTACAGAACTTATTTGGGACCTTTTTTTTTCAGAAAAGATAACTTATTGGGAGCATCTTTTTCCATAGATAGTCGCAGCGATAAGTTCCCTAAGTCCACTTGTGTGCTCGAGTATTCGATTTGTTCAGCTATATCTGACACAAGAGCCCCGACTGGTATCAGCCCCCTCCGAAAAACCGGGCCCTCGAAAAACCGGGGGGGGGGTCACTACCGGTTCGAACCCCTCCCCCCCCCCTAGTTCATCATGAAAAGGGGGGGGGGCACTACCGGTTCGAACCCCCCCCCCTCGAAAACCGGGGGGGGTCACTACCGGTTCGAACCCCCCTCCCCCCCCCCCTTCGAAAACCGAGGGGGGGTGCGGACAGTGGTGGGGACGGTGGTGGTGGGGACAGTGGTGAGGGGACAGCGGGACAGTGGTGGGGACAGTGGGACAGTGGTGGGGACGGTAGTGGTGGGGACAGTGGTGAGGACAATGGTGGGAACAGTGGGGACAGTGGACAGTGGTGGGGACGGTGGTGGTGGTGACAGTGGTGTGGGGACAGTGGGAATGGGTGGAAACAGTGGGACAGTGGAGTGTACAGTGGTGGTGGGGACAGTGGTGAAGGCGGTGGCGAGGACGGCGGTGGGACAATGGGACAGAGGTACAGTGGGGACAGTGGTGGGGACAGTGGGGACAGTGGTGGGAATAGTGGGACAGCTCAGTGGGACAGCGGAGGAGTCAGTGGGACAGTGGGGACAGTGCGGATAGTCGGGCAGTGGTTGGGGACGTGGAGAAAGTGGGGAGAGTGGAACCGTGGTGGGAACAGTGGTGGGGACAGTGGGGACAGTGCGACAGTGGTGGGGGCATTGGTGGGGACAGTAGGAACGGTGGTGGAACCAGCGGGGACAGTGGTGGTGAGGACAGCGGTGCTGGGAACAACAGTGGGTGATGTGATGCGGACGGTGGTAGGGACCGGGAGTCGTTTGCTGGCGGTGAGTTGGGGGGGTGGGGAGGGGTTCGAACCGGTAGTGCCCCCCCCCTGGTTTTCGAGGGGGGGGGGTTCGAACCGGTAGTGTCCCCCCCGGTTTTCGAGGGGAGGGGGGGGGGGGGTTAGGGGAGGGGGGGGTTTTGCCGGGGGAGGGGGGGGAGGGGGGGGGGGGTTCCAGCAGGGGGCCCGGGGAGGGATTTTCGGAGGGGGGGGGGGACCCCCGGGTTCCGGAGGAAGAGGGGGGCAATTCTCCACAGTAAAGCGGCGGTGGATCACGCTCTCTCGGACATTCAAAAGACGATACAAAGACGGTGTTGAGAACTGACCAGTTGTGTGAGGACGTCCCCCGAGCGAGATGAACGCTTTTAGGAACGACTTCAGTGCATACAGTTATGTGGGTTTGCCGTGTTGGTGCTCATTGTCTGAGTCGTTGTTAACATGCGTGGCAATAGCAACAGCATTGGTGATATCAAGTATGTTCGACGATGATTCATGCGAAACGCCCAGTTTGATGACCACACCAAAATTTAGTTTACCCAGCGTTGGAGGATGTCTCGAGCGAAACGCTTGGTGTTATAACAACTGTGTTGCGAATAACTCACGGTTGAGATGATGTGTCAGGCGAAATGCTGAGAAAGACCTCTGACCAGCCAAGAACGGGAAGCGTCGTTGCTCGTTCCACGAAGCTTGTCAGAGAACGTCCTGTTGAGAAAGTCAAGGATATTCGGAGACGAAACACAGACGACCAACAGAATTGTTGCTTGCTCATTGTGTTGGTCTGCTGTGCACCCTATGCTCTGCCGTGCTGCTGTGGTGTGCCGTGCTGCTGTGGTCTGCCGTGCTGCTGTGGTCTGCCGTGTCGTTGTAGGTTGCCGTGTTGGTCTGCCGTCTTGCTGGTCTCCCGTGCTAGTCTGCCGTGCTTCTGTGGTCAGGTGCCCCAGGGCTGGTGAGCACCGTTAAAAAGGTATATGGGGGGGAGAGGGCGGCCATCTGGGAGGATTTTTCAATGCAGGATGTACAGTTCTATCCTTCTATGATATTGTATACAAATATACACGCATTCATGTATATACACACATTTCCCATCTCCCCCTCCGCGAGTACGAGTATTGTTGCGTCGGGCCTCGCGGTCATGGCGTTGGCCGGGGCGCCAGGCTTCGCGTAGCCCTCTGGCATACCGCCGTCCGCTACAGGAGGATGTCGTTCAGGATTGGGAGCGATAAGCGCTGCTGCAGGGGCGACGCAGTCGCACCAGAAGCACTGATCAGCAGACAGTGACCAGCACCATCGTGGAATTTTCGTGGTATCGCCGACGGAAAAGTGTATATGTATATATGTGTGAGTGTATCTGACGTTCCATGTGCAAGTGGACGTACATATCTCGTTGTGTGCAGCTGTTCGTTCCGATTTCCATATACATGTGCATGCAGAGTGCATTTTGATTCGCATGTCGATTGTAGCTCGATGTGCGTGCCGATTGCAAATTGGGTTGCATGTCGATGTGGAGTTTCATTGCAATGTGATGCCCCTATTTAGTTTCATTTCGATACGCATATCGATGTGCATCTGATGTGCATGTAGATTTGAATGTCGATATGAAGTACGGCTTGCATTTCGACTCGCATGTCGATCAATTGTCAGGTTGCAGTTCGATGCGAGTTCCACGTCGATTTCGATGCGGGTGCGCAATTCGATGTTTTTGTTCGATGTGCATGTCGATGTTGGCTTCGATGTGCACGTCGATGTCAATTGGATTTGCATGTCGATTGCAGCTGGATTTGAAGTTCGATGTGCATTTCCCCTTGGGGCAACCACGAAACAGCCTTCGGGACCACCGCGGAGCAACCGCAGGGCAACCACGGGACAACCCACGGGACAACCCACGGGAAAGCCTACGGGACAACCCGCGGGACAATCACCAAACTCCCACGGGACAACATCCTCCTCCTCCTCCTCCTTCTCTTCCTCCTCCTCCTCCTCCTCCTCTTCCTCGACAACCATTGGACAAGCACGGGACAGCCCACGTGACAGCCACGGAATAGATCACCGGACAATTGACAGGACAACCGCGGGACAATTCACGAGACAACCACGGGACAACCCACGGGACAACCACGGAGGGCAACCACGGAGGGCAACCACGTCACAACCCCTTTGGACAACCTCGGGACAGCGTGCCACACCATGGGATAACCCAGCGAGCCCCCGCGAGATTCTTCGCGCAGCCTCGCCACGCCCGCATGCACAACACGAGCCGACGCAGAAAGTCGTGTTTTGGTTTGAGCCACTGCGCTCTCCCCCCCTTCCCACAACTTTTGATGTGCCGCATCTCTCGCACAACAGAGTACCATCGCGGCATCACGTCGCAATCGAGCCATGTCGGTATTGATCAAGCAAGGTTGGCGTGTTACATTCATCCACCGACCACGCCATCTCCGTTCCCAACCCCTGGCCCCAGTCCACACTGCCCTCATGCCTAATCTTGCTTCTTGTGTGCCGATGGACGCACCGCACATAACACACACGACGATGCTTCAAATGCGAGCGGGAGGTGATTGTCTTATGCCCCCTTCCCTCCAGCGTATCGCATCGCCTGACCCTGCGCCCGAGCTTCATCTCCGCCCACGCGTGCCGAGGCGGCTGCCGACGCGTGGGCGCGCCCTTAGTCTCCGCCAGGATTTGCGATCAGATGCTTGATGACGGGGTTCTGACATGAACAGCACATCATGCGCACCTGTTCGTATCTTCCAGATGGGATGGGAGGGTAGATGTGGACGGCACGCGCGTGGTAGTTGTCTTAGTTGATGCTGCAGTGAGGGGGAGAAAGGACGGAGGAGACGGGTAGGGAACAGCAGGAAGAGGCGGGGAAGTCGCAGGATGATGGCGGGGCGGAATGGGGTGATGGGGAGGAAGATGTGATTCCTCATCCTCCCCCTCCTCATTCGTCTCCTCCGCACCTCGGAGCTCGCCCCTTGAAGCTTCGAGGTATGCCCCCTGCCGGCCCCCCATGAGAAGTGGGGGTCTGCGGCATACTCCAGTCGCAGGGGATTTTGCCAGTCGTACTCTACAGCTCCTTTGTAGGTGTCGACTCTGACCCCCTTGTGCGGATGTCCCTGCCCTTGTCCCTGTCCTCATCCGCCTCCTCCTCCCTCCTCCTCCTGGAGCGCCACCGCGTTGTGCAACGCCCCATCGCTACGCGAGTGTTTGCTACGACTTGCAGTGCATCTGTCTCGGTGTGCTCGTTTGTCCGTGGCTCGCGCGATTTGGGATAGCCCTCCCGGGGGGCAGCGCGCGTCTCGGCCCGCGGTTCCTTGCTGTGTTCGCTCGACGGGTCGGAGGTCCGTGCGGACGCCTTGGAGCGGCGTTCTGGGCCCCTCTCCTTGGCGCGCCTAAAGCGCGCCAAGGAGAGAAGAAGGAGGACGGACGAAAGAGGAGGAGGAGGAGGAGGAGGAGGAAGCGGAGGAGGAGGAAGAGGAGGAGGAGGAGGAGGAAGCGGAGGAGGAGAGGTGGGCGATCGCGAGGAGGGGGCAATGAGGACGACCAGGGGTACGGCGACGAAAGGCACAACAGTGATGAGGAATCGAACGGCACAGGTTAAGAGGAGAAGGTTGTCGACGGCCATGACAGTGTTGTTCGTGACGACGAGGGTACTGCATTGATGATGTGGAAGAAGAGGGGAAGACGGAGGAAGAGGAGGAGGGATAT